CATAAAATTTATTTTTATTTGAGAAACCTTCTTAAATAACTGACAACATTTAGTACTCCAGCAGTCTAACCAAGTTTTCATTTGGGCCAGTATTGCTAAAGCTAACTCATGTCCCCAGAGTGAAAAAAAAAAAGTACCTTACAGATGCAAAAACACACTCAAACAAAGGTGACAGGAAGCCTTTTCAAGCAATTCTATCACCTTAATGTTAACTAGTTGCACTGATTTCCAAAACACATCTTCAGAAGTGTGGTGCACCACTCACCTGTCAGGTTTAAGTTTAAATAGTACAATACATTTCCCAGTGTATGCACAGCCTTGGAGCCATGTGGAAGAAATGCAATATCTGCCTGTTTGAATACAATCATAGGAATAATAAACAAAAAAAATAATACATTTAGCAACAAAGACTAAGTTGTTATGAAAGGCACAATCTGGGAGGAATGGAAGAGGGTTGGGGTACAGCTTTGTGTCCTTACCCAGGGCCAATTAATTTGTGCACATGGAATTGATGTCTTTTGAAAAGCCCTGTTTAGATCCAAAGGAAGGGACCCAGCTGCTGGGTGTTTCAGAGCTACCTGCCCTGGAGAATGAGAAGGGAAAAGGGATTCTGTTTGACATCTCTGTTGAAGTGCTAATGATAGTGGAATCATGACTTGTATTTGTGAATTTAACACAGATCCTTATTTATCCCAGAGATATTTGAGAAGGTAAGTGCTGCAGTGTAAAATAGAACAGCCTGGTGACATCCCATACACTGTTAAACTCAGCTATATCACAATGTCAGCAACATTTCTAAAATATTCTTTCTGTGGACAAGGAGATTTATACATAACCTATTTCTTGCCATGGGTGTATATGGTTACTTTTTAGATCTGTGGTACTTCTGATCAAGCATTCTCACTTGAACTCTCAGCTGCTGAGAGTAAAAAAAAGAAAAAAATGTTGGCAATTAAGTGCTGTATTTTCATTTCTAGACAATATTTTCTAGGAAGCAGAAGCTTTATATCTCGAGCTAGGCAATTAAATGTGTTTCTTAGTGATTTTGAAGATGGAAAAGAACCTAGCAAGGAGAAAAAATGCTTAAGTAGAACAAATATTTTTCAGGGACCATTATTAATTATACAACAAATAAATAAATAAACTTTTAGCGGTCACTTGTTATTTAGGTCAACAAAACCAGACGCAGAATTCCTGGGAAAACTGCTTGATTAAGCGAGCTATTGCCAGCCCAGCAATGAGGCCATGCTCGCTCCAGAAGTATGGAGCAAACGCGTTCGGCTCCCCGCGCATCCCCCACTCATTCTCCGTTCATTCCCCGCTCAGCTTCCGCTCATTCCCCGCTCATCCCCCGCGCATTCCCCGCTCATCCCCCGCGCATCCCCCGCTCATCCCCCGCTCATTCCCCGCTCATTCCCCGCGCATTCCCCGCTCATCCCCCGCGCATTCCCCGNGGCGCCGCTCCCCGCGCCCGCCTGGGAGCTCCGGCGTTCCCCCGCCCACCCCGTGACAGCTCTCGTCAACATCATTCAGGCACGGCAGGCCCGCGGTATCTGACTTTTATGAAATTCGTGCCCAGACATCACGGTCCAGCTGCGAGTGCTGCACTCTCTTGTCACAAAAGCAGAGGTATGCGTTTAAATTGGTGACATGGATAGGTACGCAGAGGGAAAAGGATTACATGGGAAAAGAGCTGCCGAGGGAATACCTGGGCAGTGCTGATAAGTTCGGTGAACAAACCGGCATTAACTCTGGCCACTGCAATGGCAAGACTCACTATCACTGAAATAGTTTTTTCTTCCCTTGTAAACGCTAAGGCATTTGCTGTCCAAAATACAGGGTTTCCATTGCCTGCTGTCCAGTAGTCAGTGCTGCTCCACACTTGAAGGTTTCTTAATTTACATCACTACAGCTACTCGATTAAAGCCACTGTCCACTTGAAAAAGGAGGAGAAACACTGTCACCTGCTCACTGTTCAGAGCTGAGATCAATTCCTGTCTTTAACTTCCAGCCAACTGCCTTCCTCCTAAGTTTGCTAGAAAAAAGCCACACAAAGACACCTTTGAGACATGAGGGCCTCCAATTCCTGCATCTGTGAGCCGTGAAAAGCAATGCCTCTCACACACCTCGAACAATGTGCAAAGCACAAAAGGAAAGAGCATCACATAGCATCAGTCCTATCGCATCAGGGAATGGACTGCCCAGGGAGAATTTACGCCTTGTTAGTGTCCAGCAGAGATATTACAATGACTGCCAGGGAAATAATGAATGCAATAAAGTTCACTGTACCTAAAACCACAGGAAGATGTTTTTGCTCAACTATTTTTCTAAAAAGGGAGCTAAAAAATGTGAATGCTCCTGAGTGAAAAACATCACAATCCCTTTCTCATCACTTCCATCAGTTTTAGGGAGGCTTTAATTCAAGAAAGAAATCTGTATATATGTATATATATATATATATATACACACACACACACATATATACATATCTACATATATAATATAGGTATATATAGAAAAAGTAGTAGCTCACATTAGACCCATTTTTTGTTGTATTTGCAAGTCTCTTTTAAGTTTGTAGAGATTAAAAACATGGCCTGTCAGCAATAACAGCTTGTCACCAGCTGATACCTTACATGCAAGGTTCTTGCTTTTGGTCAGTTGACTTCATAACCTAGTAGTTCTATTTTTCATTCAGTAACCAAGGTGGCAGAAAGCAAGACTAGGCAAAAGCACATTTGTCTACATTACAAAACTCACATAATTTCCTTTTGCAAAGATCCAACATGACCACACAGTTCAATAACATGGTGCAACCTTTTTGTAGGAGGTTGTGCCTGCTTTCTTTTTGAAATCTGCCCTCTGATATCCCAATGTTTATTTGGCATCACTGTGGGTTTTAACAACTAAATCACTAATAATTCCCCTTCAAGGAAGGGAATTTCAGCCACAATAAGATGCCAAACTATTACCTCTTTTCTCAAAGCATCAGAGAAACTGCAGAGAGGCTGGCTGCAGCTTCCTCAAGAGGTTGCAAGTCAAATCAGGAGCTCCTGAGGACTGGAGGTAGTTCCTCTCTCTGCCCTGGGTTCCAGCCTGCACTGTCCAAGGAAGCTCAATAATTGGAGGGCAGGATGTAAAAAGAGCAACAGTTGATGATGGTACAGAACAGAAGAAGCATTTTCATGGTTTTCTTCCAAACCTTGAGGCAGAGTTGAAGATTCTTATATCTAAACCTTCACCTGTGACTTTGCAGCAAGTACCTGCTCAACATCTAGGTAGTGATGGCCCTTTTGTTTTTTATTCTGTCCCCCAAAGACAAAGGATAGGTTCTAACTCATGTAGAGGATATCTGTGTGGTACACAGTCTACACATAATCAATACCCTTTCAGTATGAAATGACAGTTCTGATGCCATCTGTTTTGCACCACCTTTTCTGAGAAAAGAAATCCTTCATGAGAAGGTTTCTATAAAAAGTCTTCCTACCGAGCAGTTACCTTCACCTTTTGCAGTGAAAACGAATGAAAACCAGCCATGCAGAGCTCTGTGTCACAGCCCTGGCATGGTTCATTTGAAAAAGAATAAAATAGCATAAATAATGGGAAACACAGTTTTAAGCTTGCAACAGCAATCCATATTGCATAGATTAGTGTGGTTTTCAGAGCAATTCAGATAGTTAGAACACCATGGCACTGAGCAGTTCAGAAATAAAATATGTGAACATTTAATCTTGTTCAGCCCATCATTGTGTGTTTGCATCAAAAGATAGTTGTTCAATAGCTGCAAGATAGTTGTTCAATAGCTGCAGACTTTCCAAGCAATCTCTGGAGCCTGGCAGCAAGTCATAAGAGCTTCTCTGACTGTCACCAGGGAAACCACAGATCTGTTGTGCATGAGGTCAGCCTTCCAGGGATGAGGCTATTACTAGGCATCATCATAGGAAAAGACACCTCAAGATTCATTTCCTTAGCTTGATATTGCATTACTTGTGCATATGAAAGGATAGGTTCCTAACTCTGTGGAGGCTTCTGATGCTACAGTTGATTCAAGTGGCAAAAGTACTGTCAAGTTTTCTAAAGCTTTGAGTTCAAACACATGTTTTTTATTTGATCTGTGGTATATGATTTAAACCTGATTAAATCTAACACCTGAAGGAAAAATTTAAAAATAGATGAGATGTTCTCTCCTCTGGTAGGTATCTGGGGAAAGTAGAAAAATGCAATAAAGTGGAACCAGTTTAAATATTAGTTTAAAAATGTTGTCAATTGTGAGATTTTTTTGAAACTCAGTCGCTTCTGAATTCAATCAAAATATTTCTTAAAATGGTAACAATAATGTTAACATTTCCAGTGATAGAATGGCAAATTAATTTTTAATTAAATTATAAATAATCAACATTACTGTTAAAAGGAAACAGAAGAAAGGTGCTAGTTTTGGAGTAAAAAGAATTATTTCTGTGATAACAGAAGATCAAAGATGGCATGATCTAATTAAAATATAAAATACTTCATGAATATCAAAGGATTACCTACAGCTCTGACAGACATTGTCAGGTGATACTACAGGCACCTTAATTCTTCTAGAATCATCTTTGTCTCCACTGGCTCCCAACTCTGTATTGTCGCATCTTGCATAGGAAATCAAATGAAAACCTGGGAACTGAACCTGGTTTTACTGTCAGAGCTCCTCCAAAGAGAATTTAAGTTTTGCTGATGATGTATCTGTCTGTTGGCAAACTGAGCAATTCAAGCCTGACTGAAAAGTAGTTGTATTAGAGCTAGCTAAAAAACAAACTTTAATCATGAATTCTGTTCCTGTTTTCTGTCTTCTCCTCTTCTACATCTAGAAGCTTCCTCAGGGCTTCTGTGTAACAGGAATACAGAAGACAGAAGGTTGAATTCCTGATTAACAGCAGCTCCTTCCACTTGAACTGCAACTATTTAAGCAAAGTAATAAAACAAAAAGAAAAGTCAATAATCAAATTGTGTCTCTGTTTCAGATGGATACACTACTGATGATATTGAATTTTACTGGAATGGAGGAGAGTCAGCAGTAACAGGAGTTAGTAACATTGAGCTCCCACAATTTTCTATTGTGGATTACAAGATGGTATCAAAGAGAGTGGAATTTACAACAGGTAAGCACTGACAAGCTAAAAAAAGTTGTCCCTTCATCCTCCAGCTCAGAAATACCAATGCCTATGTTTTGTGAGGCATTAGTCATTGTATGACTTCTTTCTTTCAGGAGCATATCCTCGATTATCACTCAGCTTCCGGCTTAAAAGAAATATTGGATACTTCATTTTGCAAACCTATATGCCTTCCACGCTGATCACAATTCTGTCATGGGTGTCTTTTTGGATCAATTACGATGCCTCTGCAGCCAGAGTTGCTCTAGGTAACTTCTCAAAATGACTGAACTACGTGGACACTTGCTGCCTTTGAAAACAGTGGCACCAAATCCATACTGCTGGTTGAAGCATCATTAATGGTGATCTCACACAAGCAGCACAGGGCCTTGGTTGTCAGGAAGGCAGGCAGGTGTGACCTTGCTGACATCTGAAGCTCTTGCTCTGCACTTAGGTTGGGATTCTGGTTGATTTCCAGTTGTCATCATGGTCTTTGGATCATGCCAAAAGTATCTTGCTTCCAAACTGGAACATAAAAGTCTAATTCAGGTGCCTAAGGGTATCCACACTGTGCTGCATGAACAATCCCTGTTGATGTTAGAAAGTGCTCTCTCAGGCCAGATCTGACTGGAATGAACACACAAGATCCTACTGACATCAGTGGAGATATACCAGCTTACACCAAATAAGTCTGTTTTCCCTATAGAGTTGGTTTTTTCCCATACCATGTTCCTTCCTACGACTTTCCATAAGAATGAAGATCTTCAGTGCTATCTGTGCTTTAAGGCACAGATTTTTAATATTTTTCAACTCTATTGCCAAAAAGCCATTTTGTCCCATCTCCTTGCAAATTAAACTTGTTACACTTCTCCCTAGAGCTATTATCTACATGCATTAATCACCTGTGATAAAAGCAGACTATGAAGTAATTTCAGCCAGCTAAAAGAAAAAACACATATGAGAAAAAAAGGAATCATTCAGTGGTGGATAACACAATGAGATGGAAATGCTTTACTTGCAAGCACTTAGTTAACAGGAAAAGCTGTTTTGGTACAAGCATCTATATCACTTTCTCTTCATCAAGGACCATCACTTTATCAAAAGGCTTCCCTTTCTCCTTTCAATCCTCCATTTTAAATCAAAAGCTATATACTTATTGCAGATCCCCACAGCAATGCAAGTCACCTGTGGGGTCAAGTAGAGCTACTGCTGTAAATGAAGTATGAAACATTTTCTCACATAGAAAGAACAGCACTCAACTCAGCTGTCCAGGTCAGATAACACCACATTCCCTAGCACAGTTACAGCAAAAATTAAGGCAAGAAGTTCCAACATAGCCTGGGCTATTGGAGCTTATTTCATTCACCCTTCACTGCATGAAAAGCCAAGGAAGGTGCTATCAGCAGACTTGCAAGGATATGTTCCTTGCAAAATGCATTCCTTTGGCTGCTAAGAACCTGATCACATCATTAACTCATCTGCATGAGAAGTGTAATTCTTCCATTATGTCTTTTGTGCTCAAATTTTCTTCCTTGTCATATTAGTCAGTGTCTGCTTCTTCCTCTTGTAGGAATCACGACTGTGCTGACCATGACCACCATCAGCACCCACCTCAGGGAGACCTTGCCAAAGATTCCCTATGTGAAGGCAATAGATATTTACCTGATGGGATGCTTTGTGTTTGTGTTCCTGGCCTTGCTGGAATATGCCTTTGTAAACTACATATTCTTTGGGAAAGGACCTCAACGTCAAAAAAAGACAGCAGGCAGGGCAGGACATGCTACAGGCGAGAAGAGCAAACTGGAAACAAATAGAGTCCAGGTAAAATGTTCAAGCTATCTTTTCAAACATTACTTTTACTATGAAAATGTTCATTTATATGATGATAGAGATTAATACAGGTGGAACACATGTGCATTTAAGAATACATGTGCATTTGCCTAGAGAAAAATTGTATTTTAAGGAGATTACAGCAATGTATGGTCTGCTCCATCTTCAACTGAAAACAAAGTAAGAAAATACATAAAATGCAAATGAATATTCAGGACACATATTTCTTTCTTCTTTATATTTCTTGCAGAAGAAATACAAGGGGTACAAGGAAGTTAAATATTTATCACTTCAACTGTATATTTTTTTGCTTTAGAAGGTGCTATAGAAGAAATGTTTATAATAAAGCTCCTTTTTACATACAGAAACTTCACCAAAAATAAAGAGCATAGATAAGCTCTGTTGCTTCAGTGAGCCCTGAATAAAGCCTGTAGCAATGAGCTTCAAGGAACACAAGGATGCTGCTGCTAGATTATAACAGCTTTCATAGATGTCAAGATTTTTCCCTCAGCTAAATTCAGACACATCACAACTATCCCCTCTTTAAAAAACAAGCCAGAAAACTTTCAGGAAGTAATATTATGAATATGTTTTAAACAAGGGTGAGTTTAATTTTGCAATACATCAGTGAGCATTTGTAAACATCTATAAACCTATTTCACTTTTTCCCAGTTTTTCAGAAATAAACCCTTTGAAGCCTCATGTATATTTGGCCCAGTTTGACTCAGAGGAAAATATATATCCTAACAAGCCAAAAAATTTCTTCCTTCCTATGCTTTACTTACAATATGTTACATCCGAGTATTAATGAGATCTTGCCCAGGCTGACCTATAAACTTCTTTACTGTTGTGGCCTGAGGTGATAACATTTGGACAAAACTGTATTTTAAGCCCTCTGTTCAGTTGCAGGAATGAAATCAACACATTAAGAAGTAAGACTTCATCTTGATAGATGGCTACAGTGTCACATACACATTAGGAAGTGCATTTCAGAAACTCTGTGATATCTTATTAATTCCAGAGCTGTGTGTTTGGTGTACCACCACTACAGCTGTGCATCCACAAAGCCATCATACCCTCGGTCTCAGTGAACTCATGAGCCCATTAAAAGTTCTTACATTTGCCTTCTGTCCCATTGTGTAGGGGATGCTTTATTACAGTGAGGGCACAAATTCAGTTCAGGCAATCAGCAGACTCCAAGACCCCTCAAAGTACTGCCTTCCACAGAGCAGAGGAGATAAGCCATCCTGGCATGGACTGTTGTGCACAGACACTATCTACGTGTGCCCTAGTGCACTGAACTGAGTAAAGGATAAGAGTGCAGGTAAGTTCTTTCCTACATATTTGGAGAGTTTAACTAAAAAAACACCGTAACTCATAACTAAAAGTTTTTGTTTAAATGTTATGCAGCAATTACACTGAGATTGATACTCAGAATGGGATGGAAAGTTTTTAAAGCACCACATTGTATACACCACAATTTTTCTGATAGAAAAAAGACTTCATACATGTTTTGTACCAGGATTTCTAAGTGCTCACACTTTAGGCAGCAATCCCATTCTGAGACTGAGAGTGCTTTAAGTGAACAGACTGCTTTCTGCCTGTACAGTGCAGGTTTGCAATCTTAAATACATATATATGCACACACTTATATAAACACACAGATGTGAATGAGTATTGGTGAATTTTGTGTTCCACACACTGATGTGAGACATTGTGAACATTAATTTTACCCAACATAGAAATGCTGATTTTCAACAGTTGTATTTCTGTCTTTGGCAGGAAGAGTGCACACAACCAGAGCAGTGGGACACAGTGAGGTTTTGTGACCTCCAGTGAAACAGCTCCCAGACCCTCTCCATCATTTTTTGAGATTTTTCACTGGTATTGTGATGCCTGCACCAGAGCAGGGGAAAGGGGTTTTTTGAGCACAAAAGAAGCACAGTTGTAAGTATGTATAGCTATAGGAGATTTTTTCCCCTTTACTCTTCACACACACCACTTATCCATACAGGCACCTGTAACTATTAGAAGATACATAACAGCGCTTCATCTCTTTGTGCCAGGTGAAGATACCAATCATTCCCAACATACAACTTCAAAAACTAAGAGTTCTAATTCCTTCACCAGATAGCACAAGCTTTAGATGTGTCAGCAGCACTCAGCAAACTGACCACGATATTAACAGTATAAAGAAGACCAGATGAAAAATGAAATGGAACTGATGATTCATAGGTGGCTGTTCCATGCTCTACAGACTGAAGAAGATGAAAATAAAGTATCTCCAGCTTCATAATTTATGCCATTTCTATTTTTAATATACAAAAAATATTATTTTGTAGTAAACAATCTTTCTGTTTCTCTGAATAAAGCATAAAGACTGTTTATATATCCTTGTTCATTTGTCAAAGCTAGATGTAACTGACATCACCATAATTATGGATAAATAGGAAAAATCACCCAGAAAAAAATATTTAGACAGTCTATGCATGCAACTGCTTCTCTTTCCCCAGACAATTAGACTGTGAATAGTAATTATACAGAAGCTATCTCTTAAGTAGGAAAAAGAAGGTAGGATGCAATCAAAATGTGGGTGGGAAAGGGGCACATAAATGACAGCGCAAGGCAAGTGATAAATTGTCTCCCCAGTTCTGTGCAGTATCACATCCTTTCAAATGTCCTGTGAAACACTAAACACTTGGGATAGAATGCCAGAGACCAGCCACAGGCTCCAAGGAAAACTTAAAATTTTCCATTACACTGGCTACTGGAAGGAGAAAAAGGGAAGCATATAACCACACAAATACCTTAACCTGCAAGCAAATCTCCCTGTGAATTAGTATATCCCTGCTGGTCATAAGGTGTTTCTTTGTGGATCAGATTGTGGTAACACTACAGTATTTGTTCCAGTAAGACAGCCTGTATGAGTAACATAGCCCTAAGTCTTTCATCTTAAGAGGAAGAAATAATGGGTTTGTATTGAGATAAAACAACTGTTTTTACCTTTTATCTCCCAACTGCTAAGGTACAAAAAAACCAAAAAAAAACAAAAACAAAAAAAACCAAAAAAAACCAACAAAAAAAACCACAAACAGGTAAAAAATTCATTCCAGACAGCACTAAGCATTTGAGACCCATTCTCTGTCAAGGAATGCTAACATGAACTTCCCCTAGAGCTTTCTGACTATTTTTATGTGGTCAATACAGGCCTGTTGTTTTGGGTTGTTTTCTTTGTATTACTTTTAACTATTTTACACTTAAAATATCTTTTGATGATCCTAAGCAGGAAATTAATTTTCTAAGAGTCAGTGAAAAAAGAAGGATTCATCCCCCTTGGTGTGGGGACATTCATTCAACTCTTAGTGTCTGATTTGTCTGTCAGTGCCCCAGGAAAGCTGAGACCAGTCTGTCAGCATCCTGTTAGGGGGACCCTTCACTGAACTGCTCTGCTGGATCACAGGGGGGCTTGACTGACTTAGCCAGGGACAGCCTAAGGGAGACCCCTCAGCAGATCTTCCCAGTTTATGACCAGTTTATTAAGTGTGTCTTTCTCTTTATTTAAGTATGTTACCCACTGTCAGCAATAGCCAGCACCTGGGAAGGACTCACACCAACATCTTATGGAATATCACTATTTTTTAATAAAAAATGGCGACAGGTTAAGGTTCAAGGGTTGCCAGTGATAGTACCTGACTGCAAAAAGATATTTAAAGCAATGTACAGACAAACTCTAATCCCCAGTGGAAGTGTTCAGCCTACACAGAGTAATTCTTACCCAGTAGGCATCCCTGTTGGGTAGAAAACAGGTTCAGTCCATCCAGGCATGCCAGTAGTTACAACAGAGTAACTTTTCTAACTTTTCCTCACTCTCAACTTATTTGTATCCTGTTTATTTACATTTAGGTGGAACTTGAGTGATAGTCATACACACCTTTGTTACTGATTGGTGTAAAATTCTCTTGCTTCACTCTTGGAGTCAATAAAATCTGGAGCACATTCCCAGTGAGGGGTGGTTGTACCTTGGATGGAGGTGTGAGTTAGTATTACAACTGGATTATAATGAACCAGGTTCATCTGAGGAGAGTGATTTCAGCACAGTTGTTGGCTCAGCAGCAGGAGATCAGCTGCACAAGTTTTAATACTTTGCAGTGAACTTCAAAATATACTGAAAGAGTTTTTAATGACGTGGGAAATTGCACAGAGCATTTGACCAGGTACATAAGAACATCTTTTATACTTCCATGAGCTAGTTTAGTCAAGATCAGTGTAAGGCTCTTTGCTCTGAACTGCAAATTCTGTAATTCAAAGACCAGCTTGCTTCATGACATACAAATCATCTTGCCTAAAGTGGTTTAAATTAAATTCATTTTAAAAATAACAGGTTCATTCAGAATGCTTAGAGCAGGAATTCAGACACTGCTTGGCTCATAATAAATTGTCAGGTTATATTAGTTTAAGAAAGATCCCTATGCATCGCTTCAGAGTGTAGGCAGCTACAAGTTGTCTTCCCAAAAAAGAAAAGTCATAATAACTGCTTAATAATGCTTGCATTATCGTTACTATTATTATAACACTGAAGTCAATTAACTTACACATTAGATTATGTAATCAAAGAGAGCTCAAAGAGCTATTCCATAAAAATGGGAAGAAAATATTGACCTGTCAAAACTTCTGAGAATTTAAAATATCTTTTTACACAGAGACAACTTTGAGATCACTGGGTTTTTTCCACAGAAAAAATGTCAGATCTTCAGAGTAAATGCATAGTCCCACAGTTATGGCAGTTGTCTGTAGAGTAGAAGACCCTGGCTTACATCTTCCTTCTTACGTTTTATGGACTGACCTAAAAAGTATGAGCTGAGTAGCCCATATCTCAAGCAAACATTTGAAACACCATGCTGATTTGTGACAAGATGGCCTTTCTAAGCCAGAACATGTGAGTTTTTCCCACCAAAACAGCAGCGGGAACTGGGATGCTACGACTGAATGCTCATTTCAGCACACACAGAATCAGTTTCTAAACCAGACTAGTGCATTTTCTATCTGTAGTGACTTACTATTTCACTTAGATGACTTCTTTTGCTTCATGGTTCTCTTGTGTGGCTTTTGTACAAACAGTTCCTTCACTGCTTTGCTTTCAGTTAGTAAGTGCTTAGTCTGGCACAGTGCAAATATGCCATCAGTTATGATTTAAAGCAGATGGGAAGGAACATCTTCCCCACTGCCAGGCGGAACTGAAAACTTCTTTGGTCCCATCTTTACTTTGCAGCAACCCACAAAGACTGGGTTTCCCTGTGTGGTTTTGTTTTTAGTTTTTTCTTGCACATACTTCAAATGTGCTGTAGATTATTATGTCATTTCCTAGCTCTGCTATGTCTTACTAAAAATTTAAAGCTCAGAGTGTAAACAAATCACTGCATATCAATGGTGCTTCACAAGACTAGATACTGTCTATAATCAATATCTTATTCCCTGATATAAAGGTATCCACAGACGTGATCAAGTTTGTTATAAGTTTGGGATAGGTCCAATACCACAGTTTACCAAAAACAACATTAATATTCAAGCCTCGAGGTGAAGACCTTGAAGTTTCATTTAAGAGGCCTCTGTTCTGATGTATATTTCCCTCATATAGCCTACAGTGTATTTTTAAATATCTTATGAATTTGAAACATCTATTAAGTATTTATGGAGAAGTCAGAAGTCAACCTGGAACCACAAAAACTTTTCAAAAGAGGTTTTACTACAAACGTGTAGAAAGCTGAAGATTTATGAAAAGGAGAGCACAGCAATGCAGCAATTTGTGGTTAATTACACTCATACTTAAGAAGACTATGGTACAAAAATATCTAATATATACATATATATAATTTCTTGTGCCAGACATGTATATACTGGTTGCAGTTTCCAATTCTTTGCTTGGGTATTTAAGACAGTGCTCTGACTAATAGCACAAATAAAGTGACAAACATATTTGAAACAACTGCTTCTGGTATCAACACATAAAAATGCAACTGAATGTAAGTTTTCATTGAATAAAATGGATTATTCTATATGCACATGAACAAGTTAATGGTATGCTATGATTTCATCTCTGTAATATAGTAATTGCCCAGAATCAATTCTCATCATGAGTATTTTGCAATAACTGATAAAATACATGTGTATCTACATGCTCTTCATGTGATGAACCCATTGTTACAAGACATTTAGAAACTAACCTGCAGCACCAAAACAGTTGAAAACTGTGTAGAATGGGCAGAGACAGCAACATTCTCTTTTCACCTTCAGTATGTGAAAGCTTCAGGTGCCAGTCATCAGACATTAAAAATCAGTATTTCATAAAGGCCACAATCCAAGTAAAAGATAAAATTACAAAAGTCTTACTTTACAGAGGATGAGACAATTAACCGAATTACAAGACCAAGAAGCCAAGTCAGGATGGAAGGTGCTTTGATGTAGAATAGCTGAGTTCACACTAGTCATGAAAGTGTGTTCAGCATCTTTTCACTTTTGTGAATGCTGTACCAGACAGGACTGTCATTGCAGCCCCAGGAGCACCTTGACACTAGAGCCACGTGGTCCATCTGGGAAACACCTTGGGCTGGCTGAGGAACCTGTCTAATCCACGTTCCTTCCTTGACACAGGTTGATGCCCATGGAAACATGCTTCTCAGACCACTTGAAATACGAAATGACGCTGGCAGCTCAGATGTGTTCACGAGCCTCCGTGACCCCCGAGCCACCACGTACACATACGACAGTGCCAACCTGCAGTACAGAAGAGCCACTTCCAGCAGAGACCTCTACAACAGGAGTGCTGTGGACAGGCACAGGCTCCATAAAAAAGGACACTTACGCAGGAGGGCATCCCAGATCAAAGTCAAAATCCCTGATTTGACTGATGTTAACCTGATAGACAAGTGGTCCAGAATGGTCTTTCCTATCATGTTTATTCTTTTCAATGTTGTTTACTGGCTGTATTATGTCCACTAAATTATGCAATAATGTTACCACAGACAAACATAATTGTTTCTTTTCCTTCTCCATTTCATTAACTCTGAAGAATTGCAGTAGCTATAATGTTCCGTGTTCAACGTAAGATACTCTACCGTGGAACACTTCTAGATTTAAACTTTTAAGAAAACCAACCCAACACAAATCCAGGACCACAACATTTAGATCAGAATAGTACAGATCAGCTCTTAAGGAGCATCACCCATGACCTTTTTATCAATTTAATATTTATTTTTTTTTAAGTGGAAAATTTGTCCCACTGTATTTCTTATCACATATTGGCAGCATGCTTCCAAACAACACAAACTATACTAGTAGTATCTATGTCACTGTCTTTCACCATTTAGAGTGTAGAGAAATTTGAAGAAATTGCAGCTTAAAAGTTTATTACTATTGCACCATGCTTCACCTCAAACTCAATAGCTAAAACAGGAAGCATTTCCATAGTGTGTTTGAGAAGTATCACTCAGAGGGAAGTCAAATAACATTTTCAGAGGCAGAGATATTCAAAAGAAAGAAAGGGTAGCAGAGAGAAATCCCACCAAATTTCCAAACAAGGAATCAGCTGATTTGATCTCAATGGAATTCTGTTATTTCCACAAAGTAGCAAAGTTGATATTTATGAGAACAACTGTGCCATATGTAATTTTGTACTAAAAAGTAGAAAACAAACATATGCTGACTCCTTGAAGCAACTCTGATGGATACTCAAGCCAAAATTTTTCTTAGCACACAGGTTTCCTGTGGCTGGTAATTGCAACATTTTCCCAAAAGCTGATAGATGTCTGGGAATAGATCTGAGGAAATATTTGCACACAGTTTCCTTCAGATATTTTTATTCCACTGAGAACCAGGAGATGCAGCTGAGTCTTACGGCGCACTGGCAATGCTGGGTGCACTCCTGAGGAGCTGCTTCTTCATACCTGGCTGCCTATTGCCCGACACAACTCCAGCCAAGGAGCCACAGCCAAAGGGCTAGCAACATCCATGCAACTGAGAAGCAATAGGTCAGTCATCTATCTATATTAAATCCATTTTCCTTCCCTACTGCCAAGTGTTTCCTAACAGCACTGACGCTGCCTAACACAGCATTTTATTGAAACTATTATCAGTTTATTTTTTTTTTGTATTGCAGGTGTTTCATACTTTTAGGAGAGTCAACATATACAAACCAACAGAGTCTTTGTAGCTACTGAGGTGATATTATCAATAGAAACAGGTACAGAAAGAAACACTGGTCAGGACACAAACAAAAAAAGTGATGTGGAAAATTTCTTCAGTAGTTCCTCATTGCCTGGCAGTAAGGTCAGCTGATGACCTTATTGCCAACTGACATTGCAATCTCTTTAACCAGAACATAATAATAAATTAAACCCTCCTACATGTTATGGTTTGTCACATTGTGCAAGACTTGAACCTTCTCACAGACCAGGGCCTGCAGGCTTCTGCAGAATGAGGTAGAATTACAGAATCATTAAACAAGAAAGGGAATAGGTTAACTTCATTCACTACAAAAATTATAAGGCTGCAAAATAATAATTTGACATTGCTAATCTAAGGGAGTCCTTGAAACTATCCATTTTTCTGTGGGCTCCAAAGTCCCAGTCTCATCCCAAGTTCAATGGAGCACAATGGTGCCTCAGATGTCTTCTTTCTGCTGCTACAACCTGTAACCTCCAGTCTACTAAAGAGGGGCACCATTTTACAAGATTAATCAGCCACTAAGTACAACTTCAGGTGATTCATGACAAATATTAATTCATGCAAATGGCTTTTCTGAATAAGCTATGTATGCCTATCCCCTCCATGAAACAACCCCAAATAAGTTTTAAACAAGAATCCCACATGGGACAGTTTGATTACATTTTTAATCACGGTTAAGCAATGTTTATATCAAGAATATTCCAGTGGAAACTAACAATGTTATTTTGGTATTGTAAAATAGAATACAGAGAACATAAGGAAGTCTTGCATACTTAACTTTCCATAACTGCAAAAAATAGCACCGGGAGGGAGACAGCAGTAGGACCATATGTGCTGTTCACTGCAAACACATATCCCATTAAATAGTTTTGAATTCTCTGAACTGGCACAAGACTTTACAGAGTAAGTCCATGAGCCATTGAATTTGCATGCTTTGTGCTTATACACAAAAATTAATTCAATTCAAAGAAAGTAACTCATTCTGCAGACCTATAGTATAAAATACAATTATCAGTGACTCATGTTTGGCATTACCTGATTTCCCAATGATATTCACAGACAGAGCTCATGCAGGTAATTAAGACTAGCGGATCCAGTGGTGAAGAGATACTACAGCCTCTCCTTACCACTGCAGTAAACATTTTAGAAGAGCCAGCATCCAACATGACATCAAAAAAAAGACTTTAGGTTAAAAAAAAAAGGATCCTTTGGTTTTGATTACAAGGGCAAAGGTCACCTTTACTGGTTTTCAGCATTTTTTTTTTTTTGAAGGCCCCTAACATTTGCATAACACATATTTTTCTAGTCTGTGGTTCAGCCAGATACTTCTGGCATAGTTGATAAGTACATGGACTAAAAACAGTTACCTTGTACAGTTCCAAGCAAAAAAAAAAAACAACACAAATGTATGGAGCAGAGTAAAAGCCATTAACGAGAGCGAGGCAAAACTCCTTAAGAACAGCACGTACCAAAATAGGAGGATCTATCCTTCTGCCCCAGGAGGCGTTGAATACATGCCAGCTATCCAAATCCCAGCCCTGCAGTCCATTTTGAGCAGCACACACCAAGGCCTGTCTGCATCGAGAGCTGGAAGCCACAACCCTGAGTCAGGAAACAGCTGCCAGCATCCAGTGAAAAGTTGGGCAGCAAGGACTAATAACCCCACCACACACAGAGGCAAGAGCCACTAATTGTGGGTACAAGTGCTACTGGAGAAAAAAAGCAGAAGAAAACATTTCTTACCTGAGAGCAATAGCTTGGCAGCATGGAAAAGGCAGTGGTTATTAGTGGCATGGGATGGCAAAATGAGTCCATTTATGGGTTACCCAGGTACACTGCCACCTGGAGCTAGAAATTATGGAGCACAGAAGAAACAGTTTCTTCCCATCAACAGGATGGAGTAATTTGGCTGGCTTTATGCAATAAAGGTGAACAATGCTGGAATACTAAGTTGTACTTCAGTAGTTTCCCTACCCTGAGGAACCAGACTTCAAGATCAGCATAGATAAGGTCCTACTGCTAATTAGGTTTTAGCTAAATTCCCGTGCAGTTTGTGCAGCTCTCATGCAATTTCTACTGGTAGTCGTTTTTGGCTCGTTTTCCTGTGATGTTGGGTTTCTAATGTCCCTGAGCACACATATTTGTGTGCCTACACAGGAGTCTCTCAACAATATTTGAATCCATTGATAATTTCAACCAAAAGCTGTAAGGATCTGAGCTACTATATTCCTACAAGTTTCAACAAAGCAACTAGGTTAGCAGAGAACAAAGCTCACATTAATCCACCCTTCTTCTCTGGCAGAAAGGAGCATGATGAACTTCAGCCTTATTTGACACAGAAAATAGTCTTTTCAGTGAAACAGGAATATTTTTTGACGTTGCGTTGCTTTATGCTACCACTGAACAGCACAGAGGTTGCTATTTCAGAATATTTGCTGGTTCACCTAGTTCACCCTTACAGGAAACATTTCCTCCCTTTGTACTGCAAGTGGAGGATTTCTTGACATAAATCATGAGGAAAGTCACCCAGGGCCTGAGGGCCTTGTTCCACCAGCTGTGTCCCATCACCAAGGAGCCAGATCTCATGAATTCTCACATAATGAGGATGTGTTGCTAACATGTCCTTGGGAGTATTAGTGAAAATAAAAGGATGGGATTTATCTGTTATGTAAAAAATACTTCTAAAATGGTTTCTGTAATACAAAGCATGACCTCTCCACATGTGTGATTGTATGTTTCTTCCTACCTCCATGAGCAACCAACCACCCTGCAGCCCAGGGAAGGCAAGAGATCACACAAGAATAATGAATTTCAGCATGTAATAATGCTGAAATGTATATGCACAGAGTGAAACAGTTAAGTCACAAATAAAAAATCTGGCATTTCTTAAAAGAAGACCAAGTGACTGTGGTCTACTCTCAGCCTTGGAGTGCAGAGTTAACTCTAATTATGTTGTTTGCTCTTTGACAGATGTATTTCTCAATTATTTTTTAAGTAATCTTGAGTCTCCCAGAATTATAAAAACATCATTTCTTGTCTCATGCTGGGGTCAATCTAAGAAATGGCCTGGTACTCACTCTTTTATATGTTTGTGGTTTTTTTGCAAAATCCAACTGCATTTGAGTATCAATACCAATGAGGAACTAAAATAATTACATGGCAGCAGAAGCACATCATATTGCTAGAGATCATTTCTGACCAATTTATTTTAACTCATCCCTGGCTCTCTGTACCTGCACAGTTTCATGCAAAAGTATAAAATCAATCACACTGCCAAAAATGTAATAAAGATGGTTTCCTTCAGCAGATCATGCATTTCGGTGAGAACATCAGCCATCTCATCCACATCTGTGAACACCCCAGTTTCCTTGTTCCTCTCTCTGAAATGTCATTTGTGGTTTTGATCTAGCTGACAACATATTACCTGATCTTTTTATGATATTCAGAGGAAACTTTGAATGTTGTGCAATGTAGCTAGCATTTCTGAGACAAAGCTGGCAAATCATCATTTCAACAAAGAGATGAATTAGACTTTGGCATAGATAAAGAATTCAGGATTGTGTTTTACAAAGGAAGTTAATACTATTAACTATTATTCTTGTTAAATGATCCAGTATTGCTCCGGCTCCCATTTAAAACAGTATCAACAGAAATATGGCAGATCTGAAACCTCTGTCTTCATCCCCCAACCCCCACCCAAAAAAAAATACTGTAGGCATCAAAAATAATTGTGTAATCTATGATGCTAGGAATCCTTCCCCACAGAGAGTCCATCACCAAAGCAGTTCCTGTGGACTTGTAGCAGTTCCTAGTTAGAAAAATCACACCTTCCAGTGCCTTTCATTACTCTATTACCTAAACTAGCTGAGTAACCCAATGCTTAAAAATAGCAAGAGCCTTCTCCATGTAGTAGTCTCCACACAGGCCTGCAAAAGTCCAAAGAATTAATCTTTGTGATATGTTCCTCCTTTTCTAGGAGGAAAGGAGTCATTGGAGTCCATGGCTAGGAGTCATTTTGTCTTTCTGGAGAAGCCCTGAAGCAGGGATGAACTAAAATTTTACAGAGGAAAGAGCAGATACCATCAAATGTAATTGAGGTCGGTTTAAAGAAGTAAAAAAAAAAAAAATACAGACTATCTTGATGCACTTATGAAAGCATTCTTTAGTACTAGAAGGGTAAAAACCCCTTTACTGTTGATACATTTTATCAAGCATTAGAAATATTAATTCACAAATCAAAATGATAACAAAATGTGCATACTTCAGGATAGGGTGTTATTGGTTCTTAAAACCACCTTTCAGAAGAAAGCATAATTATGTCTCAACATATTTCCCATCAGAAAGGCTTGCTTCAGAACTCAGAAATGTTCTACAGACTTATTTAGATCTTTTAAAAATACAGCTTCTTGGCATATATAATTGCTTTGTTGCAAAAGCAGTTTTATAACAATAGTCAATTCCATACTGACAGTTTGCTGTTCAGATGCAGTTCTGGCTCCCTTTAGCATACCAAGATCAAAGCTGACATGGTTGATACAAAAAAAAAAAGTTTTTTCTGAAATCAAGGGAAGATTTCTGTGAAACAGAAAAGTGCATTGAATGCCAGTAGAGGGCAAGTAACATTTTTATAATTCACTTTTATATTTTGTATCAAGATATGCTGATTTTCTGATTCAAATTACAGGTCTGTTTATGCAATGTGAATTTCTGTAGGTGCTTTTTACGTGGTGAAATGAAAACTTCCTGCAGTGTGTCTATTATATTGTAGGTACTGATTTCATTAGCTTTTGGTTCATAAAGCCTCCTGTGCAAAGTTCCGTTTCTGGTGTAAATTACATACTCAAGAGGTCTCTCCTTAGTATCTGCAAAGCCAGAGAGATGTCTTGAACATATTTATGGTGGTTAGTTTGGTTTGTTTTTTGCCCATGCTACTGCAGGACCCAAAAGTGAGCTGCTCTGCCAGGTAAAGACTGGGAGAATAGGAACCCGTGTTCTTGAATTGGGCCAAAGGGACATTATTTCCTGGGAACAATATTTGCCAGTTAGTGTGGTGGGATGTGCAACTTCCAAAGCTATTCCACATGCTGTAGCTAGTCAATTAGAATGAGCTCACACATGGAAGAATGTAGGAGAGTACAGATATAGGCAAATGGAGCAGATAAGCAAGAACAAAATTCAGTTCTTTTATGCTAATGGGGTGTCTTTTAAACTCTCACACCTTTGGCCTAATTCTTAGTCACAGGCACAAGTTTCTTTGCAAGTGGGGCTCCTCACACCATAAACTCTCCTCAGCTTTTGTTACTGATGCAGCTTTAGTTAACTCTGGTTCCAGCATACAGTCCCTCCAGGGGCCATGACATGTATGGCAGAGCTTCCCACTCTGTGAAAACCTCTGTGTGGAAACACAGTGCCAACATCTTTACCCATCCTGCTGCTCCTCAGCCAGGAGGAAGCACGGCTGGGCACACTTGACAGACATGCTCTGGGACACGAGCTTCTTTCAGATGCTTCTGTCCTGTGGAGGTTTGTCCCATTTGCTGCCTGCTCATGTCTACCTGCATTCAGCAAAGTGTAGCTGAAGATGACACCAGTGTAATGTGTCTTGTGAAAGCTCTAGCTTTTTGCATTCATCTGGTCTGGTACAGTCTCCACAAATGCCTTACCTGTCACAACAGGAGACCTTGCTTATTCCAGAAGTAGCTAATTCTCTGAGCAAAGACAAAAAAAAAGACATTTTCTGACAGACAAGAGCAAGTTCTCTTCTCCATTCTTTTTGGTCCTTTTCCTTGCCCTCTGCTGGAGGCCATTATGTGCCTTACATTTCTCTGCAGAGATGTAAGGTCAGATGCATGTTTCAAATGCAATGCCATGTTTTAGCTGCTAGCTCTCAACTACTCATCAACTGGTGCTCCTGTCCCCCTCTAGCCATTCACACAGTGTTGTTCTGCCCCCTGTTAGAAACATAATTTTGATGGTTATATAAAAAAAACCTGATTTTCAATAAAGTCTAACACCTATAAAGAAAAGCATCTCTTTGTACATTTATTTCTGTCGACAACAGCAGTATCAGAAACCTGTCTTATTAATGCAAAAAACCTTGAAAAAAGATTTTTCAGCCCTTTTGTGTTCAGTGCTGCAGTACAGGACAGACAAATATAGGATGATACTACAGACTGAGCACCACCACAGTTCCTTCATTAGAAATACATTATTACCTAAGTTGCTAGAGAATTTAAAATGAAGCTATGTAAACACTTTAAATCTACTAGTAAGAAAAAGTCAGAAATATTGAAAGTAGCATCTACATCTTAAAAAATTGCTTTCTATCAGTGAGAGATGTAGCAGATTCTGCAACAGAAGTTTCACTGGTTGTACATAAAAATGGAAGTAATTACTCGTGGCCCTTTAGTGCTGAGAAACTACTGCCATTTTTTATTTTTGAATGGTTGATCTTGAAAACTAAGAAATAGCAACACAAAAGTTCAGCAACACTGAAAATTAGTTTTAAATATTTAAAATATTATATATATTTTATATATATTAAAATATTATATATTATTTATATATTTTAAATATATAAAACCTTTCATTGAAGTACAGACTTTCTAGGTATGTTTTTTTAGTTTTCACAGTACATCTATAAATTGTATGAATACATCAGCACACAAGTTTCTTCTATCCAAATGACATCCCAAACAATAGTGTACACTTTCATGAAATAAATTGCTGTTATTAAATCTGCTACTATAAATAGAAGTATTTTCCAGTCCTTTTGTCCTAAATGATAAAAACAGCATGGCAACAATAAAAAATAAAGTCTCTTTTCTCTAGAAAAGCCTTTTAGCAACACATGCCCATCACATGGGCAAGAGTTACACCTTCATACATGTATCAGACAATACATTTAAGCACATAAGGCTGTATTCTCCTATAAAGCAACTAAATCTAGAGGAAAGGAAAAAGCACAGACAACACAAATATACCTATAAGTAAAATAAATAGACTTTGTGAGTGTAAGGAATAAATTCACCATTAAAAAAACAGCATCCTCCTAACACACTACTGGACAACCTCCAACTCTTCCAGATTTTTAATGAAATTAAACAGTTATCAATTCCAATCTGATTTTTAGCTTGAATTTTATACCATTTATACAAGGCCTTTATCTGTTATTTGATCCATAATGAAATTTGTTGCTTATGGAAATTAAAGTCTATGATCAAGCCATATCTGTTAGAGGTTGCACTCCTATCACTGTAAGATACATTTTCCACTCTTTCATCTTTACAACTCTTTACCCACTTCTCCAGTTTTTCTTTCTTCAATTTCTGATACTGAACATGTATATCTGATTAAATGCATCAATACCAAATAAAAGAGAGACGATATATTTAGGTTTCCTACTCATTAAAATCCTTTTTATAGAAGCCTTTCTACAAGGGCTTCTTGTCCTCTACTGTGACCAGTACTCTGAAGTCCATTATTTTATATTAGTGTATTAAACTTTGCATATATGAAAACCCATGGCACAACAAAATACAGTGGAATAAACTCAAGTCCCAGATCATCAGTAATTTTCCTTTTTATACAGAACTTGCCTAAGAGACACACACATGCACACAATAAGAATCACACACTAGTATTTATGTAAGCATTAGAGATAATTTGCTCTTTATGTATGGAAAAACTGTGTAATAAATAGTAGAAACTGTAAGATTTCTGGTGTACCCTTGCTTACTGTTAGGGCTTGTAACTTTTGTTACATACTACAATCAAAACTTCACCTGGTCTCAGGAAAGTTTAGACTAGAATTTATCAATTATCTCCTGTATTAAGTGAGCTAGGAGTATCTTTTTTTATAACCTATATAGGTCAGCTCCTCTCCAGCACTGCAGCCCCTTCTGAAAACATTGATATTTTTAACTGAACAGCTATCAACTAAGATAAAAAAACTAAGCTAAAAACTCCAACTTTACTCTGAATAAAGCTGCAGTGCTTTTTCTACTTCTGAGCACTGAGCAGGTGCCCAGAGAGATTGTGGTGCCTCAATCACTGGGAAATATTCAAGACATCTGGAGACAGCCCTGTGGAGCCTGCTTTAGGTTACCCTGTTTGAGCAGTGAAGCTGGACAAGATAACCTCCAGAGCTCACATCCAACCTCAACTATTCTGTCATTCTGCACTGGTTTTGTTTGTAAAGGTGATTTTCCTCAGCATCTAAAAAGATTGAGTTTAGTGATTCATAAATCAAAAAATAACCTACTACAATTATTCACACACAAAGTCAGGTGTTTATTTACCATATTTACAAGTATAAATACATTAATGCTACAAATACTCTCTCATATTCTTCGTTAGTGTGGCACTTTAGATAAGGTAACATACAATGCAAGTAAGATGCCTTAGTTTTACCAGGCACCTGTGTAGTCACTGCCAAAGTTTTACCAAAACAAATATGGCACACATTGTAAGTAATTCTCTTCCAAATGTCTATAAATCCTTAGTACTAAAAGCTACTAAAAGTACATTAGATTTTCATATTTTTGGTCAAATAGATACAAGAATTTTTTATTTTTACTGAATGATTAGTAGTTCACTTGGTCACAAGTCGTAAAAGTCTTCTGACTTCAGTATTTTACAGCACCAAAAGCTTTTCACTTTGCAGTAAATATATTTTTTCCCCAAATCATTTGGGGAGCCATCACCAGCAGATACTGTTGATCTGAATTCCATCATTTCAGTTGTAAGACAACCTTCAAAAAGGAGAAAATTAATGAGAGTAAAGTTGGTTAAGACCACAACTTTAGCAGCCTATGAAAAGAAACCTTTTGCTTTCTGCTTCAATATAATATGCAACTGAATAAACATTTCTTTCCTCTGGACAGCACACCAGTCCTCTCCCAACTCTCTTTCAACCCAACCTCCCACAACCATTATTTAGAGTAACCTCCTTTACCCTTTACTGCACTCAAACCATTCTTCAAATGCCTGTAATCAAAAAGTAGAACAATAGCAAGTCCAGGTCCATTGAGATTCCTTCTGCTCAGAGCAGAGCCAAGGGACCAATTCTGAAGTGAATTTCTCTTCGTGTGCCCACACAACTAAATATGGAGATGACCACATCCCACAGCTTCCATACACACCCTCAAGCAGAACAAAGGGCATGTGAACACTGAGGTCTGTCCCACAAGAATACTTCCTCATGTACTATTTTAATGTAGTCTTGCAGGGAAGAAAATTCATATGGAAACAAGCTGTGAAAGCTCTTAAGGGCTATAATTTCCATTTTCTTCAAATCCTAATTTTCTTTAGCCTTTTCTATTAAGAAAGCTGAGACTCTTCAGTGTCTCAGAAGCCTTATAGTTTCAATTGAAATTCTGTCCTTGGCTTACAATACTATAATTTTTCTAACTTTCTTCCTGGTTTACTATGGCATGGAAATTAAAGGACTTAATAGGAACCAAATAACTCTCCCAGACACTGACATTTTTTGAAGCTGAGGGAAACATGGGAGTTCTCACCAATCTTTCAGCATAGCAAAGGGGTAATTATATTAAATTTAAAAAAGTAGATTTAGTCTAGGTATTAGGAAGAAATGTTTTACAATGAGTATGCTGAAACACTGGACAGAGATGCCCCACCCCTGGAAACATTCAAGGTCAGGTTAGACGGGGCTCTGAGAAACCTGATCTAGTCAAAAATGTCCCTGCTCACTGCTGGGAGCTTAGACTAGAAAACCTTTACAGATCCTTTTCAACCCAAACTATTCCATGATTCTACAAATTCTGCTAAAAATAAATCAGTACATAACAAGTCAGGAACAAAAGATTAAATCAGTAAAAGTTACCTTATTAGCAGCTTCCAGTGCATTTATTAGGTTCTGCAACTCTTCCTTATTCATCTCTATAGAAATTGGCTTAATTTCACCATTTTCTCTAACATCCAAATCAAGATTGAGGAGTGGCATTTGCAGCATGGAGATCTTATCACTGGAGAGTGCAAGCTGTGCAGATTGACACAAGAACAACAAAGTGTAAGCTGGACCCATTAAATTTTTAGTCTTTCATAATATCACATCTGTATTTTATACTGAACTTGTAATACCAAAACAAACATCGGCATGACAAAATTAACTTCAAGCAAGTCATCTCTGCTGTTTTCAGGGTTTTCTTACTCATTATTAGGATTTTTGTTTGTTTGTTAATACCAACAATATACTGAATAAAGACCCCCTCTTCAAAGACTTGTCATATACACTTGTCAAAACCAATTATTTAAAATTCTGGGCTGCCACATTTTAGCATTCTAGGTGAAAATGAAGGATACATTTGATCATGGCTCTTAATGAATTACGTAGATTTTGAAATCATCGTATTTAAATAGGTCTTCTAATCAACAGGAAGGGGCTTGCAGAATGGATTTCTTGGGAGAAAGAGGAGAGCTTTATGCATTCTTCAACACTATGCAGCTGATCAAACACATTGTCCGATATCCTATTAGACAAATGCTGATGCAGGTTACATGCCAATTGAGCTTTCTTTTTCATTGACTACCCATAGCATACCCCATCTAGCATAGATAAGGCTTTTAAAATGCATTAAAATCAAAGATCAGTTGACAGTACTATAGCTTAGTATTGTACAGACCTATCTCATTTATTTAGAGAACAGAATGCGGTAGGGTTCAATCATGGCAAATGAAAAAAAAATCATAACCAGCTCAAGGGAAAAAAAAGTGGCTTTAAGAAAAATAATAGTTCAGATATGTACCAGAAATTTGTATCACAGAATAGAAAGAAACTAAAAATGTTCTCTAGAAGAAAACTTAAAAGAAGCCACAAACAAAAACCAAGAGTTTGTGTGAGTCCATATTTTTGTCATCAGTAAATGCAGTTAGCAAGAGATCAAGCCCAGTAACAGTTCATCTAAAGCTCGTAAGATACCCTATTTGCTCTTGCAAAACTTGTCTGGTTTGGGCATTGCTCTTTGATTTCCAAAGCTGTTTGCTGCAGAAATTATTGAGCACTCTTGTAAACATGGCAAACTATTTAACAGCTCTACAAATCTGTTTAACAGCTCCCACAGTCTAACCAAAAGTATAAACAGTGTAAGTAATGTTTTCAAGTCTTTGACGGAGCTTAATTTAAACAAAATGTCTTCAGAACCTCAAACCACCATCCTAATTTAGGGAACACAGTTATTCATTGTTTTTTTACCAGAACAGGAAGTCAAATGATAAATTATTTCAAGGTAATTATTAAATGTCCATTGAAAAAATATAAACCTTTGAAGAAAGTCAAGAAAACTTATCAGTCAACTAATCTTAAAATTAAGCATATACTTCTTCCTTTGAGAAAAAATACTTTTTATTCAGACTTCAAAATCATAACAGCGTATAAAACTTTCAGGTGTCCCTGAATAGCAACAAGCCTCCCTGCAACAAGCAGCTTTAAAATAAAAGAGGGGAAAAACAAAATAGAGCAGATTTTTAAAGTTTACATTTGCAATTCATACAAATTTCTGACAAGTCTTTGATGTGCTTTTGCAATACCT